TACATATCTACAGGTGACTCAGCGGTAAATACGAGGGTTTTAAAACGTTAACATTCTGGGTTAGATACCCACGGTAGGCAAATGCTCATTGTTTAATATATATATATATATTGCATTTAACAAACAAACCTACCACCAATTCATCTGTAACGATATTTTAGGTTGCTTATAAATAATCCATTACTTTGGGCATATGTTAAACTTTAGAAAACATAAGAATGTGAGTGACCCCCCCCCCCCGATTACTGACGCATATAAATCGGGGGGATTAAAATTTTAACTGAAAGGTAGGGGATCGTTTGTTATTCGTAGAATTGCTATAAGAAGTATCGAAAACAAAATAAATGCTGCAATAAAAAGTACACAAGCACGCGATACTAGTTAGATAGGTTTTAAACGATTTTGATAGGTATAGCAAAATGAAGCAGACTAAATATGCCAACCAAAGTAGGGATTTCCGTTAAAATAAATTTTTTTCCTATTTATTTGTTCAGTTTTTATATGTCCATGAAATGGACACAACATATATTAACTTTCAATACTGCCATATACCCCAGAGCTATAACTTTCACAAGAATTAAAACCACAATCACAAATTTAAAATTTAATTCTTACTTTGGCCTACAGATAAGTGTATAAAACTGCCAAAGTAGGGATTAAATTGTATAAATTTGTGATTGTGGGTTTTAATTCTTGTTTCATTACTTTCTGTAGCAGGATTCCTACTTCATTTTAAAATTCATAATTTTAATACTCTTGTTTGATTACTTTTTAAGTCATACCTGTATAAAGTATATACTTTACCTTTAGAAACTGTCGCGTGTATATTCATCGATATGTAGCGCCATCTGTTGGGTTCAATCAGATTAAAAATATATTTAACTACGTGCATGATATGTTTTCCATTTATAAAAAATCAATAAAAAATCTATATATATTTATCGGAATACCAAAAGGAGTTACCAACAGACCAGTCTAGTAAGCTGGAGAAATCTTGTTGCGATAGTCCGAGCCGTCTAGGGGCTAGCCCAGCTGACATGATCAGGTAGTTAGGTAGTAGACGAAAAAGTTGCCGTTTTAGAAATTTCTGAATTGTTGAACCGGTAATGTTAGCGACTTTTTTAGCGTATCGTAACCAATACTTTGAATGGTCGGTTTTTCGCTTAGGGATACAATAGGGTGGTTTTTGGCACGCGAATTATTTAAAGAGACCTTGTCGATCCCTACTATTAAGTATGACTCAACCAAACAGAATCTAAGAACTGGTGATATACTCATAATATTATATATTTGTAAACATGACGGCTTTCTGCATCTACAAAGAACTTCCTAATTTTGCTTACTCCTGATTAGTAGGTACTATAGCTTCCTAAAGCCCTGCAAAACTACACGCGTTATTTTGGCTTCCTACGAAACACTCTTGAGGAAGCAAAACTTCCGACATACATGTTGGCTTTTTAAGGGATCTTCAGAACATCTGAGCATCAGTTCCTTTTGACATTTGCACTTACATGACCTACCTACTTCAGTTATTGTCGGTAAGTTCCTCAATTCCAGATACTTCACTGATTCTTCGTAGCAACATCTAATAACTTCCGAGGACAGATAATTTTTGGTAAATAGGTTGAATATTCCTTATAGATTTAAAGGAGTTTCGAGGACTACTATTTTAAAAGAAGGATCTCGGTAAGACAGACTACAACTGCTAAGCACTTCCGTTTCTCACAGAACCTTCAAAAATTGGGTACTTTCTTCACTTAGTAATATCTGCAGAACATCCACGCACGTGCTGCAGAAAGCAAGAATATGAGCTACCTATGCCCAAAATATCGTTAAAAGCTAAAGTACCCTAATAATGAAACAATGCATTCTAATCTTTATAAGAAGAAACAAAAAAAAGTAGATTTAATTAGCTACACTGATGGCTAGGTTGATTTTTAGTTTCACTCTAAGTACATAGCTTACTCTGGGGCCCGGCATGGCCAGGTGGATAAGGCGCTCGACTCACAATCTGAGGGTCGCGGGTTCGAATCCACATCCCACCAAACATGCTCGCCCTTTCAGCCGTGGGGGCGTTATAATGTGACGGGGGGTGGTG